TACAAGTTGTTAGAAGATTGTCAAAGTTGTTAAATTTTCTACTAAGCTGTCAAAGTTGTTACATTTTCTACACCGTTATCAAAATTGTCAGGTTTTCTAGTCAGGTTTTCTACAAATTTGTCAAGATTTCTACAAAATCGTCCGATCGTCTACAAAATCGTCCGATCATCTACAAAGTTGTCCATTCGTCTACATTTTTTTTGTCTTATACAAAGTTGTCGTGTCTTGTAGAAAATGGACATGTCTTGTACAAAGTTGTCCTTTCTTGTGGCAAGTTGTTCTTTCTTGTACAAAGTTGTCTAAAAAGTTGCCAAATCGTCTACAAGGTTTCCAAATTGTCTAGAAAGTTGCCAAATCGCCTAGAAAGTTGTCAGTTGTCTACCAAATTGTCATGTCTTATTCAAAATTGTCGTGTCTTATTCAAAGTTGGTTTTTATTGTACAAAGTTGTCTAGTTGTCTACAAATTTGATGAATCGTCTATAAATTTGACGAATCGTCTACAAAGTCGCCCGATCGTCTACAAAGTCTACAAATTTGTCGTGTCTTGTACAAAGTTGTCCTTTCTTGTACAAAGTTGTCTACAAAGTTGTCCGGTTGTCTACAGAGTTGTCCAATCGTCTACAAAGTTGTCCAGTCCTCTGCAAAGTCGTCCAATCGTCTACAAAGTCGTCCAATCGTCTACAAAGTCGTCCAATCAACTACAAAGTCGTCCAATCAACTATAAAGCCGTCTAATCAACTACAAAATTATTCAGTGTTTTAAAAAAATGTCTAAAAAGTTGTCCAGTTGTCTACAAAGTTGTCCAGTTGTCTACAAAGTCGTCCAATCGTCTACAAAATTATTCAGTTTTTTACAAAATTGTGCACAAAGTTGTCCATAGTTGTCTACAAAGTCGTCCAATCGTCTACAAAATTATTCAGTTGTTTACAAAATTGTCTGTAAAATTGTCCATTTGACTATAAAATTGTTCAGTATTATACAAAGTTGTCTTTTCTTGTACAAAGTTGACAAATCGCCTACAAAGCTCTCCAGTCGTCTACAAAGTGGTCCTTTCTTGTACAAAGTTGTCCAGTTGTCTAAAAATTTGATAAATCGTCCGCAAAGTCGTCCAATTGTCTACAAAGTTGTCTACAAAATTGTCCAGTTTTATACAAAGTAGTCTTTTCAGTTGTCTAAAAAATTGTCCTGTCTTGTACAAAGTTATCCCATCATGTACAAATCTTTTTTTTTATACATAACCCTAATAAAAATTTTGACCCTCTTACCACTTTTTTATACCATTTTATAGGTAATAAATTATAAAAATTTCTCTTTAAAATTATTCAGCTATGAAGTTTATACGATCTTTAGATTAAATATTTGACACTCCTAACTGTCGAAACCTAACCTTCAAATAGACAAAATTTCAAAATAACAAATAACACGCCTATTTCATTTATATAAGCAACTTCAGCGTAGTATCAATTATTTCCAAACGCTTAATATTATTTCCTTAGTGTATCCAGACAACACAAAACAGGTCACCGACGATAGCAATTACACTTATAGTAACATTTTGAACGTAATAAGTGCAAACAAAAAATTGTACACAGTTTCCAAAATAAATTATAAACTTGTACAAAAATAATAGAAAAAAAATCAATTTACGAAAATAGCTATTTTCATTTTTATTTACAAAATTATTACGGCCTATTGTGTAAGTGGCAATATTTAGCGTAGAAATTATTATAAATTTTGAAGAATTATTTAAAAAAATTCCACTTGTTACATAAAGCTTTGCAAAAGCAAAAACACTTAAAGCGATTTTGTTCGAATTTAAAACGAATTAACAAAAATGTGCTAATTGAAAAAGCTTACGAGGAAAAAATGAACGCGCCCATAAGACACAACATAAATTGTTTATATATATATATATATATATATATATAATTTATAAATACATGCATTAAACATTTAATAAATACCTACATAAATTCTGTTTTTTAAACGGGTATACCAATCACATTTTTGTAGACTACAAAAAATTTTGATAAATAAATGATCAAACATAGAATTAAATAATTACATTCTAACAAAACATCAGACAGACAACAAAGTAGTTTTTATTTATTGGTTTATTTTAGGGGTTGGTTGTGCAGTTTTTTTCTGGATTAATATTTTTAGTAATCATGCACAGACATGGACAATTAAAATAATTTGTTAATTTTTAGTCGGTAATTAGATAAATAATAATAAACAAAGCCAATTTATTAAACTTGTACGTTGAAGTAGGTTTCCATCATCTTCAATATTTAGTGTTTCAATATTTATTAATTTATTAATATTTATTGAATAGTTTTTTGAATTATTCAAATCGGTTGAATCGTGTTCACAAATTTGTCGACGAAAATTTGTATCCGATCACACATACACAACATAGTTCAAAAGATAGAAAAGATAAAAAGTAGACCAATGGGTTGCAGAACTCGAGGTCAAATGTGAGCTATGAAGTTTTACTTCAAATATAGGCATGTGGGGTATCAAATGAAAGGTCTCGACGGGCTTTATAATAATACCATAATAATAAACCTGTGACAGCAATAGGGTTCTGTATTTTATATTTAGTCTTGTAAACCGAGTTGCCATAGAGCATAGTTATATACACAGTATTATAGATTATTTAATTTTGTACAAATTTACCGAATATTTCACTCCTCTACGACAAATAGTTCAAAAGATACAAAAGATAATAAAAAGTAGACCAGTGGGTTGCAGAACTCAAGGTCAAATGTGAGCTGAAAAGTTTTACTTCAAATATAGGCATGTGGGGTATCAAATGAAAGGTCTCGACGGGCTTTGTAAAAATATCATAATAATAGACCTTGGACAGTAATAGGGTTCCGTATTTTATATACAGTCTTGTAAACCGAGTTGCCATAGATCATAGATACATACACAGTATTATAGATTATTAAATATTGTACAAATTTGCCGAATTTCACTTCTGTGCGACAAACAGTTCAGAAGATACAAAAGATAATAAAAAGTAGACCAATGGGTAGCAGAACTCAAGGTCAAATGTGAGCTAAGAAGTTTTACTTCAAATATAGGCATGTGGGGTATCAAATGAAAGGTCTCGACGGGCTTTGTAATAATATCATAATAATAGACCGTTGACAGCAATAGGGTTCTGTATTTTATATACAGTCTTGTAAATCGAGTTGCCGTATAATACACAGTATTATAGATTATTTAATTTTGTACAAATTTGCCGAATATTTCACTTTTGTACGACAAATAGTTCGAAAGACAGAAAAAATAATAAAAAGTAACCCCAATGGGTTGCAGACTCGAGTTCAAATCTGAGCTAAGAAGTTTTACTTCAAATCTAGGCATGTGGGGTATCAAATGAAAGGTCTCTACGAGCTTTATAATAATATCATGATAATAGACCTTAGACACCAATAGGGTTCTGTATTTTATATCTAGTCTTGTAAACCGAGTTGATATAGAGCAGTTACATACACAGTATTATAGATTATTTAATTTTGTACAAATTTGCCGAATATTTCACTTCTCTACGACAAATAGTTCAAAAGATAGAAAAGATAATAAAAAGTATACCAACGGGTTGCAGAACTCGAGGTCAAATAAGAGTTGAGAAGTTTTACTTCAAATATAGGCATGTGGGGTATTAAATGAAAGGTCTCGACGAGCTTTATGACAATATCATAATAATAGACCTTTCACAGCAATAGGGTTCTGTATTTTATATCTAGTCTTGTAAACCGAGATGCCATAGAGCATAGTTACATACATAGTATTATAGATTATTTAATTTTGTACAAATTTGCCGAATATTTCACTCCTCTACGACAAATAGTCCAAAAGATAGAAAAGATAATAAAAAGCAGACCAATGGGTTGCAGAGTTCGAGGTCAAATGTGAGCTAAGAAGTTTTACTTCAAATATAGGCATGTGGGGTATCAAATGAAAGGTCTCTACGAGCTTTATAATAATATCATAATAATACCCCTTTGACAGCTATAGGGTTCCGTATTTTATATCTAGTCTTGTAAACCGAGAATTTATTTGCAGAACTAAGGTTCAAAAGAGAGTTGAGAAGTTTTACTTCAAATATAGGCATGTGGGATATCAAATGGAAGGTCTCGACGGGCTTTATAATAATATCATAATAATAAACCTTTGACAGCAATAGAGTTTTGTATTTTATATCTAGTCTTGTAAACCGAGAATTTATTTGCAGAACTAAGGTTCAAAAAAGAGTTGAGAAGTTTTTCTTCAAATATAGGCATGTGGGGTATCAAATGAAAGGTCTCGACGGTCTTTGTAATAATATCATAATAATGACAGCAATAGGGTTCCGTATTTCATATCAAGTCTTGTAAACCGATTTGCCGAGAGCTTAGATTCATAGATAGCAATATAGATGTTCATTCCGTCAATACAAATGAATTTTTTTTGTATCATTCAAAATAGGACGCTCCGTTATCTCACAAATTGAGTTACCATTTTAGTCACTTATCCAGTATCTTCGAAACGGCTAGACCTGCCTTTGCCAAGAACTAATCGGCACGTCTCCTTATGAATACGAATCAAATTTGAATTGAATCATTCTAATCAATTGAACCCAAAATAGTAGACAAAAATCTGTATCCGAACACAGACACACACACACATACACACACCATTTTTTAAAGTAAAACTTCTGTAGGCGCGACTAGGAAGTAAATCTGGGAAAATGCAACGGAAAAGCATTACGCTCGAGTCGAGTGCCAATGATCTCATACGATAGCAAAACAGTTTTACTTCAATCGTGTGTGGACCTTGCTCACACTTCTTTTAAGGTATGCCAAATTGTTCAGAAACCTTTGAAACGTTAAGATGAACAAAAAAATTTATTTTTAATTTTTAAAATTGAAGATGACGGAAAAGCCCACCGAAACGTGAAGTTTACAAAAATATTTTAAAAATTTTGGTCAAATATATTTCCACTTACCAGGTTGGCTCTTCAAATGCCAGGCAGCACATTGCTCATTTTGCACAAGTCTTCTGGCAGAGTCGAAATCAACAATTTGGCTTCTTTTATCAATTTCTGGTTTACAAAATAGTCTTTGCCGAATTTCATTGACGTTAGTTGTCCTACTCACATGAGTGTCGAAGGCGAAATTGTCTGATGGACATTCCTGGACACAAATCTGAAAACGGGGAAAAACAGTTATGGCTAACAATTTACAAACAGTAAATGATTGTATTTTTGAGTCCTCTTGAAAAAAATCTGTGGGCTATATATTAGATTGTCAAATATCTCCCTTCCGCTTTTTTGCTCTTGGTTTATAATACAAAAAGGCGGAAGGGAGATATTTGACAACCTTAAATATATATTATATTTAAAAACTAGTGGTGTATGGCATCGTGCCTTAAGGCAAATTGCTGGAACTTCCCGTACCGTAACGAAATATTCGAGAAATTTTAAACGTTTTCAAATATATCATTACGAATACTGTAACTTTCATTATTTTTTCTTAGCTATCTTATTATATCTGAGCAAATCAAATGTAAATCATAAATCAATTGATTTATCTCCAGAACATTAACAATTGTCATTCCATTACAAATTAAATTAAAAAAAAATAGTTGCCTAAATGGTTACACAAAGTTGAAAATGTGCTCCCGTATAGTCACAGTCTAAACGCATTTGCAAACTAGCTGTAAGTGAAATTCTGTCTTAAGGCAATTCAGGCATCGTGCCTTAAGGCAAATTGCTGGAACTTCCCGCACCAAAAATTATTACTTTTTTAAAAGCTATTAACATTTTTGAAAAAAATTTACTTCGAAAAAATTAGATTTTTGATTTTTGAAATTTAGAAAATTGTTTGAAAAAAAAGTTTTCTTTATTTTGGCATAGTTTGGAAATTCTGAACTTTTTTTCAAAGCAATCGTACTGCGTAAGCGCCGCGTCGCCGTCTAACGGATAAACATTGGTACGGAACCCATAGGAATGTAAACAAAATTTATACTTATTGTAAAAATCTCTATAAAGTATCTGATAATTTGATGTGCATATGTCTAATGATCATTTTTGACCGCCAAATGGCATTTTTTTTACTTTTTTCATTAGATCTCCGAAACCGCTAGATCTGCCTTCATGAATTTGATCAATTCTTCATCATGTCAATACAAGTAAAATGTTTTTTGAATTATGCAAATCGGACGCTCCGTTCTCTTAAAAACTGAGTTACCGTTTCGGCACTTTTTGCCCCGTATCTTCGGAACGGCTAGACCTGCCTTCGACAAAAACTAATCAGCACGTCTCCTTATCAATACGAATCGAATGTTTTTTGAATTATTCAAATCGGTTGATCCGTGTTCCCGAAATCGTCGACGAAAATTTGTATCCGCACACAAACACACACACATACATCCATTTTTTCTAAGGTATGCCAAAATATTCAGAAACCTCTGAAGCGTAAAGATATATAAAAATTTTCATTTTCGATTTTTTTGCGATTACTATAACTTGCCCTACGGGAAGTTAATGAATCTTATATATAAAAATGGATCGCAAAATGTGTTGGTAAGCGCATAACTCAACAACGTCTGGACCGATTTGGCCAATTTTTTTTTTTAAATGTTCTTTGAAGTCCAAGAATGGTTCTTACGGCGAGAAAAAATCGAATAATTGCCGGGAAAACCCTAAAAACAGCCCTTTTCTTTTTCACATACAAGCATTTTCTAACTAAAGCGTCAGAATCAAAGGATAATCCTCCTAAACGATTATTCGGATTTTGATAAATCTTTCTGAAGTTTGTTATGGGATTTTTTTAGGATTTTTTGAATTATAGAAATATAGTTAGAAAAAATATAATATATATAAATTGCAGTGTATAATTTTTAATATACAATTTTATTGAACATATTTTAATATTTGTTAAAGGGATAATTAAAGTGTTAACTGTGGGAATTGAGAGTCATCATTTTATTTGAAGCAGTTCTACATTTAACTCACTCATATATTGGTGTAAATAGTAATTCGAAAAACAATAATTATTATTTTTAACTGAACAGTAATTATTTGTATAAGATATTGAAAAAAGGTAGATGTGGTTACAGGACAACATCTGTCGAGTCATCTAGTAAGTAATAAAATATCTAAGAAGATATATGTATAAGTCTTTGCCCAGCCTGTGTCAGACATCTTACCAATTGGCTAAATATCTAAATTTCCCTTACCTGTGGTGTTGGACAACCGTTGATGACAACTCCTGGTTTGGCACATTTCATGAGATCGAAAAATAAAAGATAGGGTTTGTCCAGAACGTCGGAGTCGACTCCGCATTTTCTTCCCAGGCTGTCAGTTGGTCCTAAGATATTGTTCAGGCTTCCATTTTTCAAAGCTGAAAAAAAAATAAAATAGATTCAGAAAAAAATATGAAAACTGTTTTTCATAATCTCTCATACCAGGCACCTCTGTCTGACTGAGATATGAAAATAATGTATATATATAAATAAAAAAAAAACAAAAAAAATAGAAATATTTAGAAAATGTACCTTGGTTATCAGAAAAATCTGGACGAATTGAAAAATGATATCAAGTAAAAATTGTGGAAAATCTAGAAAAATTGGTTAATTGATCTGGTTGATAGAAAACAAGGCAGAAAGGATGCAAATTGATATCTGAACATCAGAATAAGCAAAAAATAAAGGTGAATATCTGTACTCAAAATTATCAAGAAAATGTATAAATTAACATCTGATCTGATTAAAAAATAAGATCTGGATATTATATATTAGAAAAATCAGGACAAAGCAAAAAAATGATATCTGGTTATTGGAAATATCAAGACAATATGATTATCAATAATTGAAAAATAAGTTCTGGTTGTGTGGAAAATCTAGAAGAAGTTGAATAACAGATCTGGTTAATAATTGACAAAGAAAAAGAGTGTGAAATAACATGTAATCTTGAAAAATCAAGCAAAAGATGTGATTTATCATTTTATCTAAAAAAAATCAAGAAATGAGATGTAATTTGACATATGTTTGAGAAAAATTTGAGAAAAAAAGGTTTAATTTTACATCTGATAAGGAAAGCAATGATATGAAAAAAATGTGAGTTGATATTTGATCATGAAAAAAAATGAGAAAAGATATTAATATGTATTTGATCACCAAAAATCATGGACAATGTGTATTTTGACATCTGATCATCAGAAGTATCAGGGAAAAGTATGTAATTTAACATTTAAATATAAAAAAGTCAAGAAAAGGTGTAAATTTACGTCTGTCCTAAAAAAATAGATAAATGATGTAAATTGATGTCTGTTCTCAAAGAAATCAAGGAAATTGGTATATTTTGACACCTGATTATCAGACATATCAGAAAAAAATCTGTAAATTAACATCTGATCATCAAAACAATCAAAGAAAAAGAATAAATTGACATCTGTTCTGAAAAAAAAACTCAAAAAATGGGTAAATTAGCATCTGTTCTCAAAAAAATCAAGAATAAACACGAATTATGGCATCTGATCATCAAAAAATTTAAAGAAAAATGTATGAAATGACATCTAACCACCAAAAAATCAAGGAAGTTGGGTAAATTTACAAAAAAGTAATGTAAATTTACAGAAAAGTATGTAAAGAAAAAGGGTGTATTTCGATATCTTATCACCAAAAATCAAAGACAATGTGTATTTTAACATTTGATCATCAGAGGTATTAGGGAAAAAAGTGTGAATACATATGTGATATCAGAAATATCAAGGAAAAGGTGTATTTTGATATCTGATCATCAGACATACCAGAGAAAATGTGTATTTTGGTATCTGAACATAAAAAAATCAAGGAAAGGTGTAAATTTGCATCTGATCTAAAAAAACTAGGAAAATAATGTAGATTAGATGTCTGTTCTCAAAAAATCTGAAAAAATTGTGTTTTTTTACATGTGATTATCAGAAATATCAAGAGAATGTGTAAATTAAAATCTGATCATCAAAACAACCAACGCAGAATGGTAAATTTACATTTATTCCAAAAAAAATCAAAATAAATTATGTTTTTCAACATCTGATCATCAGAAATATCAGCAAAAAATGTGTAAATTGACATCTGATCACCAGAAATATCAGGAGAAAATATTATTATGATAGATATATAGAATATTATATATTATGATAGATGATAATCAAACCAATTTAAGAAAAATGGTAAATTGACATCTCTTCTCAAAAATTTCAAGGAGAGGCCGGATGCATTTTGAAATCCATTCACCAAAAATATTAAGTAAATTGATATCTAGTCATCGAAATATCAGGAAAATGTGTAAATTAACATGTGATCATCGAAGCAAAAGGGTAAATTGACATCTATTCTCAAAAAATTAAAAAAATGCAAATAATTATGTACATCTGAACATCAAAACAATCTAAGAAAAATGTTAAATTAACATTTCTTCTCAAAAAGTCAATAATGTGTCCAAAAAGTTCCTTAATTTTTGAAGGGCTTAATAACAAAAAGCGTGTATTTTGACACCTGGTCATCAAAACAATCAAAAGAAAAGGGTAAATTGGTTCTCAAAAACATCAAGAAAAACAGTGTAAATTGACACCCAATAAAAATCATCGAGGAAAAGTTTGTAAGTTGAAATCTAATGAGGAAAATCAGAAAAAACTCGACAAAATCTGGAAAATAAGATGTAAATTGTTATCGGATCTCAAAAAAAAATCTGTAAAATGGGTGTTAATTGGCACCTGATAGGAAATATCAGAAAAAAATATGCACAAAAGGTATAAATTATTCAAAAGGTCATAAAAAACTTTAAAAGGAAATCTGATTTTACACCTGGGAAAACTCAGAACCAAATCAGTTTTGTTGACATCAAAGTTAACAAAAATGGAACTTAATTAAAAACCTTGTACTAAATCTTTGCTACTATTTTATGTTTTATATTTTCTTGAAATTATCAGACAAATTATTATAAGTTTGTTATCCTTACCATAAAATCCTACTCCTGCCCATCCAATCAGAAAAACTATGAATAAAATTAGGAAAAAAACGTCCGTGCAGGATCTGTTCCTTAAGGGACCTCGAAAATCGGGATCGTACCGCATTGGTTCACCTGGGAAAAAAATTAATTATTTCATTTTTTTTCAGTTTATAAATTTTCAAAATAAATATATAGATATACAATAGTAAAATTATTATTTACCTTTGTCGACTGCGTGGGTCGATTCGTCGTCCGACATTGTGTATTTTTTATCGGCAATGCGGACCATCAGACAGAAATCCCTGTTAGTCACTGCTTTTCACTGAAACAGACGGAAATATACTCATTAGAATGGAATTGTGTATTTTGGATATTATTTTGATAACAAAGAGAGCATGGGTAAATAATTAGTCAAATGAGAACTGAGAAATTTGTGTAGAAATAGATTTAATCTCTGGAGAGAAAAAGAATTTTAAAATATATTTTATTTATATTTTATTTATATTTATTTATATATATAAATAAATAAATATATATATATATATATATATATAACTTTGCCTCGACTTTATTTGTGTACTTTAATATAATAATTTAAAAAAAAATCATTGTATAATTTTTTTTAGAATATATAAATATATAATAAGCCATGATTAAAAAAAATAAATCAATCATTTTTGTTACAAAATAAAATCTTTTTTTTAACAAATTAATAACCAATCATTCAAAACTTAAATTAATTTTTTATTGCATACTTATGAAAAATATTCCGAATAAATTTTTTTAAGAAAGGTCTTCTAGAATTTTAGTTAATAATTTAAGTATTAAATTTAACAATTAATATATATTATATATAAATAAATAACGATCTTCTATTTCTTCAAAAACCAATTTCTGTTTTTTTTTGCTAAAGCATTCAGAAAAATATATATTAAAAAATAATTCATTGAGTGATAATTTTTTATTTTTTATAGCACAACATGATTTTACACAAACAAAAACAGAAAATACAGAAAAAGTTCATGTTCAAAAAATACTATATTATATTAATATATTTTAAATTTAAATTTGTTAAAGAAAACTCAAAGTTTTGGAAAGTTTGAAATAATTTTATGAATGTTCGTATTAAAAAGAAAGACTTATAGAAAATGTATTATTAACTCCCGGAAGGAAAAGTTAATGTTTTTGTCAAAAAAATGTTCTAGCCAAAATTTGAACTTTTGGTCGACTTTTTTTTAAGAACGGCTGAACCGATTTCAAAAATTTAAAAGTCATTCGATGTAACTGGATGTAGAATAGAGTTTATCAGTTTTGTGCTACGATCGGCCAAGCCGTTTCTTTATAATTATTTTCTGAAAAACAAAAATGGCAAAATATTTTTTGACAACACCAGATGCTCGCGTGTAACTAGTACAACAATTTTAAAAGTATTTTCATGCATATTATCTCTTGTAACTTTTAAATTATTAATCCAAATTAAATAAAATATTTAAAAAAACTGTACAAAATCTAATCATATACAATATTGTCTAACATCATAAAACTCTAAATCGACACGATATATTTAAAATCGTACTCGAAAACAAAACTTGCACCAAGTTTATTTAGCAAGTTACATTTATAGCGTGTTTATTTGTTAAATTATTTTCAGTTTGAAAACCATTTGAATAATTTCGATGATGTAAATGACAAATTTATTCAAAATTAAATTATCTATAATATTGTCTAACAACATAAAGCCCTACTGCAACTTGATATACTTAAAATAGAATTTGAAAACAGTTTACAACCCGTAATTATAGTATTTTGATTAGCAATATGCATATAAGAGTTTTTTATTTGCTAAATATTTTACAGTTCAAAAACCATTCGAATAATTTCGATGATGTAAAAGATAAATTTATTCAAAATTAAATTATCTATAATGTTGTCTAACAATATAAAGCCCTACAGCAACTCGATATATTTTAAAATCGAATTTGAAAACAGAATTTCCAAATTCGTTGTAAATAAATTTACAATTATAAAATTTTATTAGCAATATGCAGATAAGAGTTTTTTATTTGCTAAATATTTTACAGTTCAAAAACCATTCGATTAATTTCGATAATGTAAAAGACAAATTTATTCAAAACTGAATTATCTATAATATTGTCTAGTGAATAAAGCCATACATCAACTCGGTATACTTTAAAATCGAATTTGAAAACAGAATTTGCAATTTGTTGTAAATAAATTTACAATTGTAAAATTTTGTTTAGCAATGTGCGGTTAAGTGTTTTTATTTGTCAAATATTTTACAGTTCAAAAACCATTCGATCAATTTAGATGATGTAAAAGACAAATTTATTCAAAATTAAATATTGTCTAACAACATAAAGCCATAAAGCAACCCGATATGATTAAAATCGTACTTGAAAACAAAATTTGCACCAATAGTTTAGTTTATTTAGCAAGTTGCATTTATAGCGCGTTTATTTGTTAAATTATTTCCAGTTCAAAAACTATTCGATCAATTTCGATGATGTGAAAGACAAATTTAATTAAAACTAAATTATCTATAATATTGTCTAACAATATAAAGCCCTACAGCAACTCGGTATACTTGAAATCGAATTTAAAAACAGAGCAAATTTGTTGTGCTTAAGAATTTCGGTTATGATTTTCCCCAACACTTTCCTATATGTACTATAGTAATATTTGAAGGGGTAGTGTTATATACACTATTGCACCCTTCTATACGAGTACAATAATCCGTACAAGTATTTCATCCCTTCTTTTCTAGAAACTAAACTGCGTTGCAGACATTTAGGAGCCCTTTTCGGGTCAAGAAACTCTGTTAAAAGAATTTTAACCTGGCTAGGCGCTGTGTGAAGAAGGGTCATTGTGCCTTTGTAAATCAAATTGTAAGGAATGATAAAAGATACATTTATTTTTTATTGAATCACCATTTCGTACAATAGTAAACAAGTCATACTTTAATTACTGCGCACTCTTTTTTATTTAGAATTCTATGTTTCAGTCACATATCGTCTTCATACACATCCACAATGTAGTTACTTCAGCCCTTAATTATCTTAACCCATTTTCCACTGCACTCTTTTATAAAAATTATAGTTTTTCTAATGATCTAGGACGCCGATAACAATGAATGCATCATCGTCCCTTAAAAGCATATTTGTGTCATTCGCAATATATTGCAAAAAATAATGACCCACATTTTCATATGGCGACAAATTGCGTGACGACTTGCAAATTGATCAGATGTACTACATAGATTTTTTCAGAGAGGTGTTAGAAAATTGTGGAAACCATAAATAAATAGTAAAAAATTATCTTACAAATAGAAAATTTTTGATATGGCTAGATTTGCTCGTTTAGCCGACAATAGGAATTGAATTTTAAATGAATCATTCTAATCGGTTGATCCGTACTCTCAAAATGCAAACATACACATGCATTCACATTAATTTTCTCTAAGGTGTACCAAGATTTTCAGATTGCTTTGAAATATAAAGGCAAACGAACTTAATATTTATTTTCGATTACTATTTAGTGAGAAAACACTATCGAGTAACACCCAGACAACACAAGACATCCTGGAAAACGTCCACAGGATATCCACGCGCGGACATTCATTGTCCCTGCGATAGCCTTACGGATATCCCGCTTATCCTGATCTTATCCGAAACATGTTAATATGTCGCACCTATGGGACGTTCTGTAGGATATCCCGCGCGGGATATTCCGGACATAAACCGGACATGAATAGGATATAATTATGGAATTGTTTTTTACTTTTTAGATGAAAAATAAATTTGGATTAAAAATAAAATAAAAGAACACAATTTCACAAAGTAAACTTTTATTACAAAATAACAAAATCCTGAGATAATTTTATAACAAAATTTAATATATACAACTTTAATTCAAAATAACTTATTTTACAATATTAAAAACATAATTAATTCGGCATTCAATCCTAGTTTATGGTTGATTTTCTCTCCTGAAATAGAAAACAAATGAATAAATGCATATATATGTATATATATATATATGAGTAAGTTCTTTAAGAGCGATACATCAATCAAAATAGACAGAGATTTATAAAATAATCTCTAATTCCAAATATATCGACACAATTGATGTCATTACGAGTGAATATTAAACTTGGTTTTTTACATCTAAAAATGTGTACACAGCACAAATTTTGCACTAACATTGATACAACTAACCAGTCAATAATCATGATTTTTTTGTAAATAGGAGAAACATATAGTACACATCTCACAGAAATACCTTGTATAATATTTATTGGCACGTCGCAGCCAGCTTTTTGCAGCCTCTAAAACAGCAAACTATGTCTCATGCGGCAAATTTTTCAAAGCAATTCCTGGAATTAATTATATATTAGTTTTATTCATAATTTACAACACATCATAAGTATAAGATATATAAATTACCTGTGATGACATCGCAAGGCACTAGATCACAAAATTTATTTTTGCCCTTTCCTCGTCCCTAGCAAAATTCTTTGGCCAAACCATCATCAAAAATGGATTTTCATAGCTGGACTCTGATGGCTAAATACAAAATCTAAAGAGAAAGTTTGTTTAGTATATGATAAAGTTAACAAATAAAAATAAATCTATATAAACTTTTGATTACCAATTGTGTTTTGATCCACAAGTTGAAGCTCCTCCAACAAACATAATAGAAAGCATTTCAAAAAATATTTAATTTAACTTTTGAGTATGGTTCGAGTCAAACCTCAAAACCAACTCTTTCAATGCTCTTTTTTGTCAATCCTCTTTCAAACACGGCTGCAATATTTGTAACACACACGCACATATAATTATATAGAACACATAAAATTTCCACTATTATTATTCAATTTTAGAGTATTTTGATAAATAATATTAATTATTTATAACACACGCTCATATAATTATATAAAACAAATAAAATTTTCACTATTATTACTCAATTACTCAAAAACTATGACATATAGCGTCTATTGATAATGCTGAAACCTTAAAGGACGCTCCGTGCCTACAGCCTACAGCCGACGCGACGAAAGAGAAAGGGACAAACATATGCGTTTAGAGGTCTCAAGCCGTGCGCGTATGAGTGCGACATGTTCGTGAACCGTTTGTTATACCTGCTCGAGTCCTTTGGGTTTGAGACGTCCCGTTGCATATTCATAGGATATTCATAGGATATCGCGATATTAGGAGATTGTGAGGACAAGTGGGACATTCCCTGGCATGTCTTGTGCTGTCTGGGCATATACATGTATATTTACATTATATTTACATATAT